ATGGCGTCTCCGCTTTGGGCAAGCGTGCCGCTGCTGGTGATCAAGTCGCTGCTGCTGGCGGGGAGGAGGCTAGCAAGGCTTTGGTGATTTATGCCAATACGTCCAGTACGGACGAGCTTGTGGTTTCAGGTACGCCAAAAAAGCGCAGGACACTGAAGTCTCTGGACGGGCAGCAGACTCCGCGTGGCGATGGGATGATGGAACAGGACATGGTGGACGGAACTAGTACCATGGAGGCAGTCGGCCCAGGGGCCGCCGACGAACTGACGGGGCCGGCGGAGCCCCGTCAGGAGCAATGAATATTCTAAGCTGGAACTGCCGAGGGGGTGGGAACTCTCGAACAGTTCGTGATCTTGTGAGTCTGGTGCAGCCTCAGTCTCCTAGTATTGTTTTTCTTTGTGAGATTAGGCAGTCTAAGAATAAAATGAAGAGGTACCGTGCTCGGTTAGGTTTAAGAGGTTTTGATGCTTTCGATTGTGTGGGTCGTAGTGGAGGTCTTGCTTTGTATTGGCATGAGTCAGTGAGTCTTGATGTAAAAGAAATAAATGAACGATATATTGACGCGTATGTAACTAGTGCGGAGGGTGAGCCACCCTGGCGGCTCACCTGCGTCTATGGCGAGCCCCGAACGGAGGACCGTCATCGCATGTGGTCCCTCCTCCGTAATCTCCACCAGCAGACCAGCATGCCTTGGGTCGTGGTGGGTGATTTCAACGAGGCGATGTGGAGTTTTGAGCACTTCTCCGACACACCGCGCTTGGCAGGTCAGATGCTTGATTTCCATGATGTTCTTGAGGTTTGTGGTCTGGGCGACCTTGGTTTTGCAGGTCTGCCATACACCTTTGATAACCGGCGAGGTGGACGAGCAAATGTCAAGGTTCGCCTTGACCGTGCTGTGGCTAATAATGCTTGGAGGGATATTTTCGCCCATGCAAGGGTGGAGCATTTGGTGGCGCCAAGCTCCGATCACTTGGCCATCCTCCTCAAGTGCGCGCTAGAGGAGCCGCGCAAACGGGAAGGCAGAAGGTGCAGACAGTACGAAGTTATGTGGGAACGAGACCCCTCCCTCCCTGAGGTAATTATGAACACTTGGACTGAGTTGGGCTCTATGTTAAATCTTGGTGATGTTGCTTCTGGACTAGGGAATATGATGAAAAAACTGCAAGAGTGGAGTCGAAAAAAGTTTGGAAATGTCATCCGTGAAATTAACAAGTCCCGCTCTTGTCTCGAGGAGCTTATGTCTATGAATGCAGATAGAAAGGACATACGAGAGGCGACTAACAAGATGAACGAGCTGCTCTATAGGGAGGAGATGTTGTGGATGCAGAGATCCCGCATTGCATGGCTGCGGGAAGGGGACTGCAACACCCAGTTCTTTCATCGAAAAGCAGTTTGGCACGCACGCAAAAACCATATTAAAACTCTCATTGATGATGATGGAGTCACACATCAGGACCATGCGTCTATGGCGGCCATGGCCACTTCTTATTTTGCCAAACTATTTGCTGCTGACCCCTCTCTTTGTGCGGATTCAGTAATTGATCTAATTAAACCACGTGTGTCTGATCGCATGAATGATGGACCGTGTGCAGAGTTTTCAGACAAGGAAATTGCCGATGCTCTGTTTCATATTGGACCGCTAAAGGCGCCGGGTTCGGATGGCTTCCCCGCGCGCTTCTTCCAGCGCAATTGGGACGTGATGAGAGAACAAGTAATTGCAGGGGTCAAGGAATTTTTCTGGACAGGTATTATGCCTGAGGGGGTGAACAACACGTCCATTGTTCTCATCCCGAAGGTGGATAACTCAGAGAGGCTCACGGAGTTCCGCCCAATCAGCTTATGTAACGTCATCTACAAGGTGGTGGCAAAATGTCTGGTAAACCGGTTGAGGCCTATTCTGGATGATATTATCTCCCTTGAGCAAAGCGCCTTTGTCCCTGGACGTATGATCACTGATAATGCTTTGATTGCGTTTGAGTGATTTCATTTTATTCAGCAGGAGAAAGACCCAAATAAAAGTTTCTGCACGTATAAACTGGACCTCTCCAAAGCATACGATAGAGTGGACTGGATCTTCTTGGAGCGAATGTTGAAAAAGATGGGTTTCGCTCGCTGGTGGGTGGACTGGATTATGGCTTGCGTCACCTCGGTGAGATATATAGTTAAATTCAATGGAACCCTTCTGGAATCGTTCGCACCATCGCGTGGGCTACGACAAGGTGATCCTTTGTCCCCGTTTTTATTCCTATTTGTGGCTGACGGTCTATCTGCTCTCTTGAAAGAAGGAGAAGAAAAAGGCAACTTTACCCCACTAAAAGTGTGCGGCGGAGCTCCAGGGGTGTCTCATCTTCTATTTGCAGATGATACATTATTGTTTTTTAAAGCAGAGGAGGAAGAAGCCCAAAAGGTCCAGGAAGTGCTAAACACGTATGCTAATGCCACCGGACAATTTATTAATCCGGCCAAATGTAGTGCTTTCTTTGGTTCAGCTTGTGCTATGGACAAACAGGAGGCGGTGAGAACTACATTAAACATAGGTACTGTCACTTTTAAGGAGAAATATCTAGGGCTCCCAACGCCCGAAGGACGCATGTCACGAGGTAAATTTCAGAATCTGCAATCTCGGTTATTGAAGAGGATTATTGCTTGGGGTGACACCCTCTCTCTCGCCGGTAAGGAAACCATGATTAAGGCAGTTGCCCAAGCTATTCCCACTTATATTATGGGTATGTTTAAGCTTCCTATATCAGTCTGTGATGACCTGAATAGAATGGTTCGCAACTTCTGGTGGGGCGCCTATGAGGGCAAGAGGAAGACGCACTTGCTTGCTTGGCCAAAGATCCAGGCGCAGAAAAGCAAGGGTGGTCTGGGGTTCAGAGATTTCCGCCTTTTTAACCAGGCTCTCCTAGCGAGGCAGGCCTGGCGTTTGCTTACTAAACCCACCAGTTTGTGTGCGCAGGTGCTAAAGGCCCGATACTACCATGATGGACGCCTTGAGGACACGGTCTTCTCAGGGAACTCCTCCCCAACCTGGCAGGCTATCCAACATGGCCTCGAGCTCCTGAAAAAGGGCATCATATGGCGTGTTGGGAACGGTCAGGACATTCGCATATGGCGGGACCGATGGTTGCCACGGGAGCCCTCTCTTCAGCCCATCACTCAGCAGGGCACTTGCCGCCCGCGGAGGGTGGCCGAGCTCCTCGACGGCGAGGGCTCTTGGCGCACCGGCCTACTACAGCGCTACTTCCTGCCGGCGGATGTCGCCGTCATCACTAGCATCCGGACCTCGCCACGCGTCACCAACGATATCATCGCCTGGGCGCCGGAGAAGAACGGTATCTTCACCGTCCGATCCGCGTACCACTTGGCAATGGACGAGCGCGAGCGTCCATTGGCCACCGCCATGAGCAGGGCACCGGATGGTCGTCGCGCCATCTGAAAGATCATATGGGGGTGCCCTGCTCCCCCTAAGGTACGCGTGTTTGCGTGGAGGGTTGTCACAAATTCACTTGCTACTTGGGCCAACAAGGCTTCACGGCACCTCGAGGATACTGACGTCTGCCCCCTATGTGGCATTGAACGCAAGGACGGATTCCACGCGCTTTGCAGGTGCCCACTGGCAAGGGAGCTATGGAGACTCATGGCGATGGACTGGAACATACCCAAGGTGGAGACCATCCGGGACACGGGGCCAGAGTGGCTATTCGCCTTGTTGGAACCCCTGGATGAGACGGCGAGGCTGGTGGTCCTCATGATCATGTGGAGAGTATGGCATGTCCGCAATGAGATTACCCATGACAAACCGCCACCTCCTGCCGAGGCCTCTCGTCGATTCTTACATGGCTATATTACTTCACTATTATGCATCCAGCAACATTCGCATGCCAATATGGAGAAGGGGAAGATGGTGGTTTGTGATGGCCGGCCGGGCATGCAGCCCTGCAGGATAGCGACGGCGCGGCCGAGTTGGGCCCCCCCTAGTGCGGGCTGGGCCAAACTTAACACAGATGGCAGCTTTGTTGCAGCCACAGGAGCAGCAGGAGGAGGCATGATCCTTCAAGATGATGGAGGGGATATCATCTATAGCGCGTGCAGAGAAATTCGCACGCGTGAGAGTGCGCTGGAGGCGGAGCTCTCGGCGTGTAGAGAAGGCCTAGACCTTGCCTTACACAGGACGACGATGCCTATCATTGTTGAGATGGATAGTGCGGAGGCTGTGGCGATGCTCAAAGCACCCACAACAGATAGATCGCAGCTCTCGTTGAAGAGATTAGCAGTCTAGCAGCCCTTGAGGCTAGAGAGGTTGTATTTGCGCAGTGTAGCCATTGGCAGAACAACGCTAGTCATGTGTTGGCTGCGTATGGGCGTAGTACCCCCCGCACGGCAGTCTGGTTCGCAGGAGGGTCGGACTTTCTTGTAAACTTGGTTAAGGCTGAGAAACCTCCTTGAGTAATGAAATTTTTTCCTCCCAAAAAAAAATACATTTCTTTCCAGAGCACACGAATCTTTTCAAGATCCTTGCTCTCGTCTGCCCGTGGCGCCACGTCGTCGGACAAAAGAGGCCCCTAGATCGAGATCGAGCACGATGCAAGGAGCATGTGGCCCGCACACGAGTTCCCATGCGGTCGCCACGCCACACGTCGCACATGCGAACTGTACAGTATTTAGCCCTGTCGTCAAGGCCACCTCCGGCCAGCCGCCGCTGCCGCTGCTACGCCATTTTTGGATCCCCCGTCCTCACCCCCTGTCCGCCAGCAGCCGCAGACCTCGCGATCTCATCTCGCCGTCGCCTGGATTGCCAGTTGCAGCGCCCGTTTGGCAGGAGCCTAGAAACACCTATCTGGGCCCGAAGGATCCCTCTGAAATCTGAATCCACGATAGCGACATGAATTTTGTGTAATTTTCCTCCAATTGGGAAAGGGGCGTGCAGCTTCCTCTGTTTTCTTTCGTTTTCAGCCGTTCCTGCGCGTCTGCTCTTGTCCCATTCAATCGGCGTCGGCATGCCCACCGGAGGAGACGCCGGGGGTGGTGGTGGTGGTGGTGGGGAGAAGGGAAGGAGGAAGAAGGTGGAGCTGCTGCAGGAGGCCATTCATGGGCTCCTGGAGGAGAAAAGGGGCAAGCAGCGACACCAAGGGGAAGAGGGCGCCATGGATCATGAGGAGGATCTCTTCCTCTCCTCGTTGCTCTCCAAGGTATCTATCTATGTGTGCGCTTCTTCCTGTACATCTGAATTGTTTCAGGTTGCAGATGCACCTTTTGGTCCCAAGATTGGATTGCATCTGCCGCTGCAATTACCAGACATTCTGCATTCATTTCATTTCATCATTCTTGAGACGCAAATCCTGAATTATTTCAACAGTTGGACTCGCTGGAAAACGATGTCGATCCGGACGGTGCCGAACCGAGCTCCATCAATCCTCACCCGGAGAGCGGCGAGGAGGCGGGGCCAGGCGACGTGGCGAAAGACCTGGGCAAGATCAAGAGGCAGAACATGATCACCCACATCCTGCTCGGCACGGTGATGGTGATGATCGCCGCGTGGCAGTTCAACGAGGTGTCGTTCCTCCTCGCGGTGCAGAAGAAGCTGACCAACCCTTTCAAGTCCGTCGGGGACATGGTCAAGAGCACCCTCAAGATAGGGAAGAAGCCGATGGCCGAGGCGATCGAGGCGTCGCCTCTGCCCCCTGTCGGCGCCCCGGACGTTGCTCGGGCTGATCTGCCGATGCTGGCCATCGGCGACGGCGATAGCTAGATCCGCAGGATGAGGAGGGATGACTCGTGCGGCAGAAATGCCATGTGTTCTTCCCTCCAGATATTGTTATGTTGTTCGTCTTGTCTAGAGATGAGATTTGTATGGCCATGTGCCGGTGCATGTGTTCTGGGCTGGTGCCGCAAGTAGGAGAAACTGAATCTAATTCGGCATCTTATGATCTTTGCACCATTTGTTACTGGAGTCGACCATCATCACCTGAAGAATGCCTGGGACGGTTGAACCATCTCTTAGAAACAGCCCTGTATTTCAGACAAGGGTGAAGTGGAGGAATGTGTTTGATTGATTTCCATGTGTAGTTTCAGCAAACTCTTTGTACTACTACTGAAGCAAGCGTGTCTGTAGCTGAGCTGATGTCTGCAGTTACACTTCATTTCTCCCGGGAATCCTGTTGTGTGGATGTGATAAAAAAGGGCAACCTGGTGCATGTAGCTCCCGCTTGCGCAGGGTCCAGGGAAGGGTCCGACCATTTTGGGTTTATAGTACGCAGCCTTTTCCTACATTTCTGTAAGAGGCTGTTTCCAAGACTTGAACCCATGACCTCATGGTCACAAGGCAGCAGCTTTACCACTGCGCCAAGGCTCCCCTTCACTGGATGTGATGTTTCTGCAAATTCTGATGGTATAGTTTTCATACAGTTCCTGCCTCTTTTTTTTAAGACGATACAGATCCTGCCTGCTATGTAGCGATTCATCATGCAACTGATTTGGAGCAGTGGCAAATTGGCCTGTTAATTTTACTTTGGGACATGCCGTCAGTTTCACCGACTGAATCCCTTCTTACCTTAGACTCTTAAAGCATCTCCAATAGGCCCTGTTTGGATACTCTAACACAGTTAGAGTTAGAGTTATTTTTTAACCCACTCTAATCCAAATAAGCACCTCTCCATCGAGATAGTTGGGTTAGATGAAACTAACCCACTCTAACCCTTCCTGTTTGGATACTTTTGGGTTATTTGAGCCTCCAACTAACCCAAACTAGCTCTAACCCCATGATCCAAACAGGGCTATAGATGAGGGCACCAAGGTGCCTTTCTACATCACAAAAACCTCCAACTTCAATAGGTGATTTGCAATAGGACACCGCTAGTGCTCCAATAGATGATGTAAAAATAGTTCATTCACACAAACAAAAGTGCAAAGATACCAAGTTCATTTCAAACATTTCAAACATAAACATAGTTCATATTATAAACATTGCAATGACTACTTCATATCGATACTACTTGATCACCCTGAACATAAACTACTCGTTGGACTTGGGGTCGCTCTGGATCGAGTTCCAGAGTGTGATGGTCTCCTCGTCAAAACAATCGAGCTCCTCCTCATCCTCGTCGGACTCAATCCTGATCACCGTCAAGGGCCACCCTCGTTCTCCTGCTTCACCTGCCTTTTCTTCTTCTCGTGGCCGCGCTTCCAGAAGAACTCCAACTCATACTTGACGTACTGTAGATTCTCCCGCGCGAACCTCGCCGAGAGCAATGTGGATCCCCTCTTCTTCTTCTCATTGAGGGGCCATATGTCCACATTGTTCAGCCCGATGAACTCCACCCGCTCTAGGGATTCGATGTCCTAAAAGATCATCTCATGGATCGGCCGCCCGAAACGCCACGCGATGATGTCGCACACACGCGCAACAAGCTCCACAGTCGTGAAGGTGCCGAGCCACTAGCGATGGTTGTCACACTGAAACTCCACACGGAAGGAGGGACAAAACATCACCCCTTGCAGCTTGTCTTGCCCTTCGGCGGCTTCGCTGGCATGACAGAGACGCGGGGTGCGGCGTTGATGCAGACAACTGTGCAGGGCGGATCCCGCCTGGAGGACTGCGCACGGGGGTATTTGCAGAGGTGATGCGGCGTCAAAATCGGGCAATGCGGCTGCATGGCGGTGAATTGGGCCGATTTAGGGGTCACGCGGGGCGGGGAAGGTGCGGATCCTGCGGTGGCGGGGTGCGGCGGATGGGTTTTGTCGGCGACGGTTGCGCGGGATGAAGAAATGAATGTTTCACGTGACGGTTGGGCGTGACTGTTTTTGCATTTGCTCGAACCACCAAGATGATGCAAATTGGTGACCTATTTTACATCACGCCCTATCCCTACAAAATTTACGTCTACTAATAGAGTCAATCACACCAGTGGTGCCAGAACTTGTCGTGAACAATCATTTTGGTGCTAGAACTTGCGGCATACATCGAACTGGTGTAAAAACTTAGCTCGATCGTACAAATACGATGCAAATCACGTTTGGATACGAAAGCGGCGTTGACCAGGCTCGCATGCATAGTGCAGGTCCCGCTGTCAGTGACAGGAAGGGAGGAAGGAGGGCGTGTGTCTGTTTTTCACGAAAACACTCTTGATTTTTATTTTTTATTTTCACATAAGAGCTCCTTCTCATGTTGGAGTGTTGACATGTTTTCCGTCTCTGTCGAAAGCCCGTCACGCCTGTTAGTATAACTAGATGATATCCCCGCGCGTTGCTGCGGAAACTATTGCTTAAAATTGACGTTTTACTCCACAAACCAACTCTTCTAAAAGGAACAGCAAAATAATTAAGATTCTCTTTTGACAGACATACATTAGAACTGTATTACTGTAATGGTACACATGAAAGATCGATCTTGCTACTTGTATCTTTCAAAATTTATCCCGCAAAATAAAGTATCTTTCAAAATTTGGAGAATAGACGTACAAAATATAATCTGCGGACCAACTTTCAAAGCTTCAACTGAAACATCACCACCTAGCTATTACCCATGTCTTGATTGTGCAAAATTTCAATCATAACTCACATGTGCATTTACTTTGGTTCATCTGCATACAACAGTAGGTAAAAAATATCATTTGTCCAGATAGAATCGTAAGGTTCCACTTTCTAAACATATCTACAATCTTTAGTTGTATCTTACATGTTTCATTTGAGAGCTCCTCTTCTGACTAATATTATGGATTGCAACAATGAAGGAAAATGAACATCCACTGATATGTGCATTAGCTTCATAACATCTCCTTCTCCTGGCCAAGCTGACGCTTCAGTCGGCTGTTACTGCTGCTAGACACAACATGTTGTGGGTGTTCATCAGATGGAGATGCAGAATAGCAGAGGAATATTACGGCTCAGACCCTCGGGCTGACAGTTCAAGGACCACATAAAAACGAAGCAAATCAAAATACTGATAGAGAGACTAATAATTTGCAGAAGAATCAAACTCCATACCTCTTTTATAATTTATAATTTGAATTGTACAACCTAAAATTTGTATAAGCCTATGACACCAGGAACTCTTCAGTATGACTACAAATGAAATGAGCAAAAGCAGCACATGGATGTTCAGGAAACTTAAGTCTTTGTCTTAAGAGGCCATACATATTTTTCATATTTTCAGTGATCTATCCTCGACCATGCAATGATGGAATTATAGAATAATCTATTTTACGCAGCAATGGTATATTATCTTTACCTTAAATCTACATGGAACATTTACATAGACTGAAGTATTGAGGAATTATTTTGGAATTCCGGCAAAGAAAGGAAGCGAGCCATGATGATTGCCAGTAAAATATGTATATGGCTTGCCTCAGAAACATAAATTCGCATATTCCTCCACACTGTTACATGTATGGGAAGTAAACATCAGTAAGAAAAAGTATTAGAGAAAAGTTAAAGAGTTAGACTGCACCAAGTAACACTACACTTCAAAATTGGTTAGGTTACTTTGTTTACCAGCTAGCACACAATGTTTATAATCTGTCCACCGGAAACATGAAAAAAAATACAAATCATTGCAAAATTTCAGCAACTTCTTTTTGTAGCCAGGGTTTCAGTGACTTCAGCACTCCCTATTGTGTGTATACATCAAGATCTCTAACAAAAATAGATCGAAAGAGATAGAGGCTACTTACAGATCATGCCACAGGAGCACACATCCTAGTTAAATACCAATGGGAATACAATGTTTCTTGTTAACCTGGGACATGGAACAATGGATGGATGCACAATGTATCAGAATCAGTCAAATATAGTAGCTTAACATTTTAGCAAACCAAAAGAGCATAATACAGGAAAACACCGTAATAATCAGTTCCTGTCTAATCTCGGTGGGGCATAATGTCACTATTAGTATGTAGTGATATATTGATCCTAAATAAGTCGACATGGAGCAGTATTGTCATAATCTAGCTCTAGATAGCCCCATAGGACATGATCCATTAAAATATGTAGTAAACATTTGATACTTCCATTCAACTATCTGCAAGTGATGCCTCTACAAACAACCCAATATCACCATAAGCATTCATACAATAAATAAAGGAAATCCCAACATAAACACCATTAGACGAAAATGTGGAGAACATGCATGTTTTAATTTGGCTGCTTCCGTAGCATTTGCCTGCCTGCATACAACATAGCAAAGAGTAAAATTCTGCATAGATATGGCTATCTGAATATTCACCAAACCTGAGAAATTGGAGATGTCAGATCATAAATATAGCTATCTGAATGTACATCAAACCTAACAGAGAAATTGGAGGCGGCAGATCAAGAGGAGGACAGGACTGGCTAAGGGATCATCCATCGACCACTTTCAAAGAAGATCAACAGTAGTGCAACCTGTAGCTTATAGCTTTTTCCAACAAATAAAATCAAGTGTGTAGTTCAATGTTGTGCCAATTAATTGTGAACAGAAACATATTGACCGCTTCCAACAATTCAATCCAAACGCCTTGAATCTAATCTGGTGCATAAACAAATTCAATATGTAGAAAGCAAGATGCAAGAGTCCATGGATTGGGGATTAATAAACACATCACTATGCTCGAGGAGTGAGAGGAGCTGCTAGCGAATGAAGGCCCGAACGTGTACCAGGGTTCAGATTCGTCGAGCAACCGGCCATGATGGTGCGGTGGCAACTGTGAGGGCTCAAAATTCACCCTGTCCTATACATGTACCAACAGAAGATGCACACATTGACAGCAACGGTTTCAGATTCACCGAGCATGCGGCCATGACGGTGCAGTGGCGACGGAGAGGCCTTGAAATTCGCCCTGTCCAGTACATGTAATACCAGCAGGATGCACACATCGACGGCGAGGCTTAAATTCATGTTGATTTTTCAGGGCCGTAAATTAACAAATCTCGAGCAGGACGCGGACAGCTTGCTGTGCTGGGGATGAAAGGAATGGATAAAATGAGGAGGGGAAGAACTCGGTCAGGGGCATTGGCACCAAATACCTGAGATGCCGGCCGATGGGAACGGAGCTGCTCCACTTCTCAACGGACAGAGCTATCTGACGGTTCTTCTATGGCGAAGATGGGCGCATTCGCATGCGGTCCAAAGAGAAATACCAGATCGTAAGCAACTGAATCGACAGAGTAATTGCGTAGTGGGATTTGATGGAGATTGGAGAAGATGAAGAGGGAGGGGAAATCCACTGCCGTGGGGAAGGGGAACTGGTGAGGCGCTGCGTTTGGGAAGGGTGCGATGGTAATTGCCAGAGGCAGAAAGAGACGTCCGAGGGAAGCTCTCTCGTCGGTCCCACCGGCAGTAACCGAAGCTTATGTGGTTGTTTTGTACTATAGTGGGTCCCACATGTAAGCCTCTAACTAAACATTGATGTGGCGGTGCTGCTGATGCGGATAGGCTGCATGTCAAAAGAAATACCATAGTGGGGATGAACTATTTAAGTATTATAGATATGGAAATTTGAAAGAAAAACTCAAACTTGCTATCATATACTGCCTCCGTTCCAAATTACTTGTCGCAGGTATAGATATATTTAAATGTATTTTAGTTCTAGATACATCTATTTTTGTGACGAGTAATTTGAAACGGAGAGAGTAGGTGGAAAACAACTGGTCATAGCCACTGCACCAACAACGTCATCACACCTATAGTTCGTAAGTCCTTTGTAATGTAGTAGAACAAAGTCGCTCCTGGAGTTTGTCTTTTTAGAAGTACGTAAAGGTATGTAAATTCTAATCTCACTAATAAAAATAAAGTTTAATTATTCTTGCAGTATATATAATACATAAAACGGAAGAAATTCTTTAGAAAATAGTTCACGTATTATTTTAGAATTATGCATCTATCTAAAATAATATTTATGAACTACAAAAATGTTTTTATACTGTAAAACAATACAAATAAAGCCAATTTTGCACTCTTTTTTTAGAAAGCTGTAGAATATATATAAGTAAAATCTAGTACTATATTATAAGTAATATACATAAAATAAATCACATTATAAAATATTGACGTATTAATTTAAAATTTATCCCTATGATTAAATTATAAATTACAGAAATATTCATGCAATAATATGCATATTGAATAAAATATGTCAAATTTATTTTATATTTTTCCTTATATTTCAGTAAATGCTTATATAAGTTAAAAAATGTTCAGAGTTTTCACAAAATATTGATTGATTCATGTTTTAAGAATTTTTTTATATCCTGTTAAATATTATAAGGGAATGCACTTCATGCGGCCCATTTGCACTATTACTTTTGTTAAGTTTACATAATATATGTAAATTATAATCAAATGTTATAAATAATACTCCCTCCGTCCGGAAATATTTGTCATCAAAATGAATGAAAATAGATGTATCTACAACTAAAATACATCTAGATACATCCATTTCAATGACAAGTATTTTCGAACGGAGGGAGTATATATATATGTAAATAATTAAATTATAAATTATTCACTTATTATTTAAAATTGCATCCATATATTCGAATTATAGATTACAAAAGTATTCACATTATAATTTGCATAATTCACAAAACATGAAATGGAATTTCTATGTTTTATATATTCAATAAATGCTCATATATGTTTAAAATGTTCACAGTTTTAATAAAATATTATGCATATAAGGTGCTCATTTTTATAATTTAATTTACTTTACTACTATGTATATTTTTTGTAACACATGATTATAGTATAAATAGATTTTATAAAAAATAACACTGCAAAATGGGGGTCCCACCAAGTGCAGCCCACATAGGACGTGAAGGATATATACATGACGTATCTTGTCAAAACAAGAAAGTCTAGCCATGGTTAACCATTGGCGGAAGCTAGCAAACCTACATGGTTCGATTCGCAGTCGCGCTATTTTTTTTATATAATTTATGTGTGGCTGACATATGGAACCCATATGGCCAACATTTTGACACGTGTCAGGGGCTAGTTCGTGAGGATAAAAAATTTGAGTTTCTTTTTGGTAAAATAACAGGCCTCATGTCATCTGGTGGCTGACAGCGGGACCCTGCTCCATGCAAGTGAGCCTAGTCAACATCGCTTTCGTATCCAAACACGATTTGTACCGTATCTGCACGCCCAAGCCAAGTTTTTACACTAATTTGATGTATGCCGCAAGTTCTACCACCAAAAGTGACCGTTCACGACAAGTTCTAACACCACCGGTGCAATTGACTCCTACTACTATCCATTGGAGCACCGTTTTTGCCCGGGCTTGCCTATTCCTTTTTTCTCTTGAGGGAAACCGGCTTGCCTATTCCTTCAGGAAAAAAAAAAACCCACGGCCCCGGATGCGAAACTCGCACCCGCCCCCCGGCGCCGGCGTCACCCGCGCCCTAGAAGGAGGCCCTCGCCGCCGTGCCACGCCCACGCCCCGTGGTCGCCACCGCCTCTCTCGCGCCCGCGCGCCGCACGGCCTGGGCCCGCGCCATCGACCTCCATTCCGCGCCGCCGTCGCCGGCGCTCGGACGGACCGTCCTGCTCCAATCGCCGCCCAACCCTAGAAGAGGAGAAGCTCGCCTTCCGCGTTTCCTGCCGTCTCCTCGGATCTCCGCAAGGGCTACGGCATACGGGGGCCTTGGATCCTACAATTCGCGCATTTTCTGCCGATTCAGGTACTCGCATCAGCTGGTGTTGCTGTACACCGGACATACATGTTCACTCTTGCTTGCTTGTTGGAACCTGGCTCGCTGACATTGGGAATTTTTTAAGGCGACGACCCAGCGATGGAATCCGTAACCATCGTCCAGGCTCAGCCGTTCGCTGGGATAAACTCCCCGCTGCCGTTGGATGAGGGCCGTCTTGGTACACCGGAGAGAGATGCTACAAGCATGCCTCAGCCTGTGAGTATTAGCATGAGGCAATTCCTGCCCTTTTCTATTTTCTTCAGGAATGCCTTTTTCTATCTGAGTTAGCGGTTGTGCATTGTAGTTGTATTGAGTTTTCTCTTTCATATGTTGCAGTGTTCGACTTCAACATCCGAGAGTGCTGAGGAATGGAAGCCTGCTTTGGGGATGACATTTGAAGGTCTGGAGGCCGTGGAAGCGTTCTACAAGGCGTTCGCACACCGCGTTGGTTTCGGGGTTCGTGTCGGGCAGCAGAAGGTGGTGGACAATGTGGTTGAGAGCAAGCGCTACATGTGCTCGAGCCAAGGGTTCAGGTCGGAGAAGGTTAAAAGGAATGTTAAAGCCGCGAATAAGAAGCGCAAGAGGGAGGTCACCAGATGTGGCTGCGATGCGCATATCTACGTCAAGCGCTGCAGCGGTAACACCTACAAGATTCACTCGATGATTGAGCAACACAATCATGGCTTTGTGCCACCTGATAAGCTTCATTTGATTAGATCGAACCGTGGAGCTAGCGAGAAGGAAAAGGTTATACCCGAGTGCGATGAGGCGTTGAGGCCGTCCCTAGGGATGGCATTTGAAGGCCTCAGCTCTGCGGAGGAGTTCTACAAATCATATGCACGTCATTGCGGGTTTAAGGTGCGTGTCGGGCAGCATAAGTTGCTGAATAAGGAGGTAGTGCAATTCAAGCGCTTCATGTGCTCAAGGGAAGGCTTCAGGTCCGACAAAGGTAAAGACCCCTCTAGTGAGAGAAAGAAGCGAAATGTGAAGGTGACTAGATGTGGATGTAATGCCCATATTGTTGTGAAGTGGTGCAGTGGTAACACATATAAAGTATCATCATTGATCGAGCACCACAATCATGGACTTGTTTTACCTGATAAAGTGACTAAATCAAAGCGAAGAGTTAGTGAGAAGGCAAAGAATAAACTAAGCGTACGTATCTCTCTCTGTGAGTACAATGGCTTGCCTGATGTTCTCCTTTTGACACTACTAGGTTATGCATCATGGTACTTACCCGTAGTGGCTTTCTGATGTTGCAGTCTTCACTCGCGCCTGAATGTGACGAGGCATTGAAGCCATCAGTAGGGATGGTATTTGAAGACATTGGTTCTGTGGAGGAGTTTTACAAGTCATATGCACATCACTGTGGGTTTTCAGTACGTGTTGGGCAGCGTAAGTTGCTGAATAACGAGGTGGTGCAGTGGAAGCGCTTCATGTGCTCAAGGGAAGGTTTCAGGTCCGAGAAATGTATGGGCGTTGATGATCCCTCTAGGAAGAGAAAGGTACGAAAGGTAACCAGATGTGGGTGTGATGCTCGTATTATTGTGAAGCGGTGCACTGATAACAAGTATAAAATTACATCATGGATCGAGCACCATAATCATGGATTTGTGCCGCCTGATAAGTGTCACTTGATTAGATCGAATCGTCAATTGAGTGACAAGGTGAAGCCAACAGTATCCACGCATTGCAAAGCAAGCACAGGCACCTCCCAGGCAAACAAGCCTGATCATGTCAGTGAGGGGAGGTCTGACAATGTGGGTTGCACAAAGAGAGACTTGCAGAAATACCATCATGATCTTTGTAGTAAAATTAAGAATGAAGATGCTCAGATATTTGTGGCCCAGCTATGTAGAAAGCAGCAAGAGGATTCAGCATTTTTCTTTGACTGTGATGTGGATGACCAGGGTATGTTGGTGCATGTATTTTGGGCTGATGCCACAAGCAGGAAAAACTACATTTATTTCAGTGATATGTTAACTTTTGATTGTACAAACACACTGAATCAACACGGCATGATTTTTGCACCATTTACTGGGACCAATCATCATCTGCAAAGTGTGTTTTTCGGTGCTGCATTCCTAGCTGATGAGAAGATTGAGTCGTATGCCTGGCTGTTTCAGACCTTCCTAAGGGCAATGGGAGGGGTCTCTCCTAAAACTATTGTAACTAGGGAAAATGATAGGATGAAGGCTGCGATCAGTAATGTTCTACCAGCCACCACCCATAGGTTGTGCATGTTGGAGATGTTGGAAAGAATGCCCGAGAAGGTTGAACCATCTCTTAGAAACAACCCTCTATTTCAGACAAGGATGAACGAATGTGTTTTGGGGTCAGAAACTGTGTTCGAGTTTGAGTCAAAATGGGAGTCTATAATTTCCGACTTTGGGTTGCAGGGCAATCAGTGGCTGGCTGAAAGGTATTCCGCCCGTGAAAGATGGATTCTGGCCTACTCGACGGATATCCATCTGTCAGGCATTCTCAGAAGCACTGCATGGTCAAAGAGCGCAAAGTCATTTTTCAACTGTTTCATCAACCAGAAGCTCTCTTTGGTTGAGTTTTGGCTTAGGTTTGAAGCAGCCTTAGAGTGCCAGCGTCAAGAGGAATCGAATGCAGATCACACGAGCGCCCATACGACGCCTCAACTGATAACACCATGGGGATTGGAGAAGCATGGAAGTGTAGTGTTCACACATGAGGTGTTTGAGAGATTCCAAGAAGAGATTGTCGCTGCTAGAGACCATTGCGTTGTCGAAGACATGGCACAAACCGAGGGGGTGAAAACTGTGGCCATCGGTGGTGACGACTCCGACAAAGTTAGGGAGGTGCGCTGGGACGCAATCACCATGACGGCCAACTGCTCCTGCAAGCTATTTGAGTCGGTAGGAATCCCGTGCCGCCATATTAACCTAGTGCTGAGAAGCTCAAAACTGAATGAGCTACCGAGTAGTTGTGTTTTGAAAAGATGGCAAAAGAGTGCAAAATTTGGGTAATTTGAACTGTGTTGCAGATGTATGTTACGGTTGAAGAATTGATCGGCTGTACCATTTTTGGGTGCAGGCATTGTAGTTGCTACTCTCTCCATCCCAAAATATAAGAATGTTTTTGATCAACAGGCAACGAAGTCCTACAATCTGAGTTGGATGTCATGAACTAGTAACCTATGCATTGAAGTTTCTGCTGAACTTATTTTTTCCATCCTATGGGCCTCTAGCGGAAATTTCAGAACACGGGAGCAGAAAAAGTGGATGTTATATTTCCTATGAAATGCAGTACAAATAAATCCTTTAAAAAAATCAAATCTTATGAATCAAATGACAAACATAAGAAAAATTCCCAAGGATTTTGATCCTACAAAGTTCCTTTGAATCAAAGAAGCCGCAAGGGTGTTGTGAAACAGCAACAATGGGTGGCGGATTCTTTGCTAGGGCTGCCTCATGAAATACAGGCCTCGTTTTATTCTCTGGAAATGGAGTATTTTTGAGTTACTCCATTAATCTTGATAGAAGGTAGGGCTGAATTTAAAAGGGAAACTTACGGAAACGGAATGGAGAAACAAACTCAACAGTTCAAATTGAACCCATGATATTCACAATAGTACTCCTTCCGTTCCTAAATATATGTCTTTTAAATATTTCAATATAGACTACTCCCTCCGTAAAGAAATATAAGAGTGTTTAGATCACTATTTTAGTTATTTAAATGTTTTTATATTTGTTTACAGAGGGAGTACATATGAATGTATAAAGACGTATTTTAGTGTGTAGATTCACTTATTTTGTTTGGTATGTTGTCTATATTAAAATCTCTAAAAAGACTTGCGTTTAAGAACGGAGGGGGTACTACTGTAATTTTATGAGAAATATTTCGATTACAAAAGTGCAAAGATCTAAAAAAAAGTATTCCGACACGATATAAATAAATGCATTTCGAAACGGAGAAGTGCATGGATGAATCCAAGGGCATATGAACCCACTTTGAAAAACTTATTCCTAAATGCAATTTTTGTTTTGAAAAAAGTCTCGCGCACACATCTTCACATTCTATGCGCACGCAAAAAGTTTCATGGAAAAACAAATTTTTCTTTGACATGTGCAAAAAAGGCAAAAAAATGTGTCGTGAAACGTTATTTAGAAGCACTGGAATTTGTTTTTTTTGAGGCAAAAAAAATAGATTTTTCTCACAAAAATTTGTGCCACACACATATTGCGAAGATGTATGCGTGATATTTTTTAATTTTTTAACATTTTAAAATGTGTTTAAAATGTACTCCCTCCATCCAAAAATACTTGTTATCAAAATGAATAAAAGGAGATGTATTTAGATGTACTTTAGTTCTAGATACATCTCTTTCTATCCATTTTGAGGACAAATATTTCCGTTATTAAAAAAATGGGTTCATATGCACATGTGTGCAGGACGTGCCCTCTCTAAACGGAACGAGGCTACTCCATGCCGCGATCACAAAACTCAACCCCCTGAAATCTCCCTCTCGTCTTCTCGTATGCCGCCCACCCTCCGCGCCATCCTCGCGGCCCCGAGCCCTCTCCCCGCGCGCTCGCTCCCCGCAGCCCAAGCCCTCCTCCTCACCTCGGGCCTCGCCGCTGACGCCGCCGTCCTCGCGCATTTCGCCAGGCACCTCGCCTCCGCGACGCGCGCGCCCGCGGACGCCGTCCGCGCGCTGCTCCGCCTCCGCCCCCGCCCGCGCTGCGCGCACCCGTTCAACGCCCTCATATCCCACCTCACCCTCTCCGGCGACCCGTCCGCCGCGTTTCCGCGCCTTCGCGGTCCTCGCCGCGGGCGGCGACGCCGGGCGGCCCGACGGGTACACGCTCCCGGCCGCGCTCAAGGCGTGCGCGCGGCTCGGCGGCGGCCTCCGCGAGGGCCGCCAGGCGCACGCGGTCGCCGCCAGGGGCGGGTTCCTGGGGCGCCTCCCCGTCCGCAACGCGCTGGTCACGCTCTACGGCGCGTGCGGTGAGTGCGGCGACGCCAGGAGGGTGTTCGACGAAATGGCGGGGCGGGACGTCGTGTCCTGGACCGCCCTGGTGTCCGCGTTCGTCAGGGGACGGAGGTTCGCCGAGGCTCTCGCGGTGTTCGGCGAGATGGACGTTGTGCCCAACGAGGGGACGTTGGCTAGCGCGCTGGTCGCGTGCGGGAGGCTGGGGGCTGTGCACGCTGGGAAGGCCGTGCACGGGCGGTGTCTTAAGAGGGAGAGGGGGCTGGAACTCATCGTTGGGAATGCTTTGCTAGATATGTATGTCAAGTGCGAGAAGTTGGATCTTGCAAGGCGGGTGTTCGACAGGCTCTTGGTGAGGGACATTGTATCTTGGACGGTCATGATAAGTGGTTTGGTCCACTGCAGGCTTCCGAGCGAGGCATTGGAGCTGTTCAATGGGATGCAGACATCAGGGGTGAAGCCAGATAAGGTTGTTCTCTCCACTGTCCTCTCAGCTTGTGCGAGCTTAGGCGCGCTGGAGTCTGGGAGGTGGGTGCATAAATATATAGAGCGTAAAGGCATCGAGTGGGACGTGCATGTGGGGACATCATTGGTTGATATGTACGCAAAGTGCGGGTGCTTGGAAACTTCTCTTTCAATCTTCCATAAGATGTCCATCAAGAATGTATCATCTTGGAATGCGTTGATCAATGGGTTCGCATTGCATGGTCATGGTAGGGAAGCTCTTGTGTACTTTGACAGGATGGTGGCTTCAGGCTTGCCCCCCAATGAAGTCACCTTTATAATCGTCCTTGGTGCTTGCTGCCACACAGGTTTGGTGCAACAAGGCCTTGGGTTGTTTAATTTGATGAAAAATTCGTACAAGCTCTCGCCATGGGAAGAGCATTACGGTTGCATGGTTGATCTTCTTGGCAGAGCTGGGCTCATCCAAGAAGCATATGGTTTAATTAAGGTCATGCCTATGACGCCTGCTGTGTCCACGTGGGGAGCCCTGCTGAGTGCATGCCAAGCTCATGGGCGTGTAGAGTTCTCACAGCAGATTCTAAGGCATGTCCATGAGCTGGAGTCCTCTGGGAGTGGGGTTTATGTACTCCTCTCAAATTTATATGCTCTGAATGATAGATGGACTGATGTAAAGAGGGTGAGAGGGCTGTTGAGTGCAAAAGGCTTGTGGAAGGAGCCAGGATCCAGTTTGATTGAGGTGAATGGTAAGACCAGTGAATTTGTAGTTGGACAGACGAACCATCAAGATATGGATGCGATATGTGCAACGCTTTTCATGCTAATGAGGCAAATACATTTGGATGGGCTGTAATTCTTCAGGCAGATTCTCAGTTTCCGTTGGAGATTTGATCTCATGCATTCAGAAAATATCTACTGATTTAGTTGGTCCTAGGGACTGGATATCAACTTTAGTAATAATTGCACATTGTTAGCATCATCTGGTTACACCTATTTCTGTGGGTGAATGGTGATCAGATCTAACCTTGGAATGACTACTGCACATTTATATTTCATTGTTTGTTGCTCTTGTGCTTATGAAGCTTTTCTGGCGTTAAAAATCTGAACAGCCAAGTGGAGTACAAAGTTAGCCAGACTTGATTAACAATGAATATTAGCCATTTGTTGGGTGCCTCTTGGAGTATTCTGCCCCTCTTCAGTTCTTGAACATGATTGATGGTGAATTTCAGCATCAGAACTCCTGGATGGACGAATGGACTCTGACCCTTAAAAGGCACTGGTACAAACCCAGACTAATTTGTAACCGTTTTATACAAGGTGAGGTAAAAAGTTGCTGAAACTTTTACATCAGATTGAGTTGAGACTGGTAGAGTTTCTACCCTGCACATAACTGCGCCAAGAGCGATGCAGAATATACCAGCCTTGTAAACATGCCTGTTAACTGTTATTCGCCTCTGAAGTTATCCTGAAGCCTAGGAGGTGAAGTGTTCTGAAGGAGTATGAAACATCATTAGTTCTTTGTTCTGCTATCTTTCACTCAACTTGTTAGTTGATGAAGGGCATCTGCTTTTTAACATGACAGAGACAGTTGTTGGATATGTCATAATTATATATTCCTCATTAAAGAAGAAGATAAACTGTTGTTCAAGGTGACATTGTAAGTTAAATTCACTCCAAAAGCACCCTGTATAGTACTTGCATGACTGTAGTTAAATTCATTCTGAAAGCACCCTAGTGCTTGCATACATGGCAATGTAAATTTTTAACTAAGATACATGAAACGGTCCAGCATTTACTATTGCTTTGCGATGTGGACCTTGTTTATGTTCTCACATTTTAGTTAAACATCCTGCCTGTAGAGGATGGGTAATAATGCTTCCATATTTATCTAATGTATCGCCTGCCTCCACATCCGTTCTCCCTTTGGCAATTGAAGAACACTGCTGCCACAGGGGGTCCAAGAGCATAAAGTGCGGAGAAGTCTCTTGTATTGAAATTTGGTCTCCATCCTGGTGCATATATTGTTTGCCGGACAGATTGGCGGAAGAGTACAAAAGCAAAGCGATGTATTCCTGCAGTTGGTTTTGGGCTTTCATAACTGACGACTTCATTTCCTGTAACAAAATGTGTGCTAACATGTTAAAAAAAGTGAGTTCATTCTAGTACGTAAATTCGAAGAAATTTCTGCCATGAATTGATGTGAAAGACACGACAATGTGCTGCTTACTAACCAGGTATGCTATTTAGATGCCTTTTGTCCTAACTTTGCATCCTAAGCACTTTCTATAGTTGCCATCTCGAGTTTTTATCCCTAAGTAATCATCGATGATGTACTTTTGTTTGAATAAAATGAGCTAAATCTTAATTTCATCTGTACTTCTGAACCAGCTCAATGTACATTTATTTTAGAATCTTAGGCAAGTGTTCAACTCATTAAAACATTCAAATTAGTAAAGGAAAAAGAACATGAAGAACCCACCGTAACTGGCATTCGTTGATTCTGGGATGTCTGTCACCAACCTGTGGCATGTATATAACCATAAGAAACACTTAAGTTTCGAGGTGTTACATTGTACACATAGAAAAATAATTTAGTTCAGTAACTTCTACTAGTTATGAGATGTTCCAGGTCTTACCAGTGAAGGTATTCTCTTTTTGTTGGGTTGCTTGGACTTGGCGAGTCAGGATCCACCATCACCTAATATCAAGTTAGGTTGTTAGTTTAGGGAGAATAATGTTCTTATCTTAAGACCATACTAGTTAACATGGAAGCAAAATATGATATTTCTGCAGACAGATCGATATTCACTTTCTGAAATGTACTTTTGCCTTGTAACTAAGAAGCTGTGCCCATCAAGATACTGGATGCTAGTCAGGAGGCAGACCTGTTCCTAGTGCATAATCGCCAATTAGGCGGTATATTTTGGCTAGGAGGGGCTAGGTGGGAGGTGCCCTAGTTTTTAGGTGGGCTAGACGGGTTGCCTTCTAGAACAGTATTAAGAAAATATCCACTACAAAGATATCCAATAACTTGATGCTTTTCAGACAAATTTTAATTGAATTATAAAAAGAGGGCAATGTTAAATAGTAACTGTAAGGCTATTATTTTGTAAGTTTCAGTGGTAGTATCGTGACTAGAGCACCTAAATGACGTAAGCAAAACGTGTAGATTCATAATTGTAAGCATTTATTGCCGCATCTAGTCATGATGATTAATATTCTTGTATTTCTCGATGACGTGCATACTTTTGATTCGCAGTCATCACCGAATGAAAAGATGCAGGTATATGTGCAGACCCTATCAAAAGTAAGTAGAATAGTATCTCTATAGGATTCACATGAAATAAAGAAATGTAAGTGCAAAGTTCTTTTTCAATCCGTATAGATGAGGTTGTACAAATTACGGAACATTGAGATTCTTTGCTCTCAGTGTTATGTACGTACAGGTAACAACTGAAGTGCGCGGACTTGAAAAGCTGATGTTATGGATGTGAGATTGCGTACTACTTTCTAGAAGACACAAATAGTAAAGCCGAGTTTGACTTGTGATGTTGAAACCTGTGCAATTTAAGCACTTTTTTTTGGCTACAACCCAAATAGGCCTCCTCAAACTTAATATTGTTCATTGTAGAAATGATGTAGCTGTGGACTTACCAGAGTGTAAAGGTTCCTCATGTCGCGCCCAGCAATGTCAATCCTTGGTTCAGTTGCTACTTGTGACGGCTTGAGCTCAGAACCATTGGTTAGTTCCTTGCCGTTGTACATAACCTTAAGTGATGCTGCTTTGACAAATGGGTCCAAAATGTCCCCAACAACATGTCCTATGGCAAGTGCCTCCCTTGACATGGTTACTGAAGATTAACAATCTTCGGGGGTTGAGTAAGAATGGGTTGGGCTCTGGACAGGCTAACTTAGTTTGAGATGTGAACTTGGGTGAACTGATGAGTGCAGGTGCATGCCCTATATATACTAACAATCAAAGTGCTGAAGGCATTCATGATATCAGGAGTTATGAGCTCCAGACGCCTTGGAATCTAACTTTAAGGTAGAGTATGATATTGGTCGCCATCACTGGAAATATTTAGGCCTGTCCACTCTAAGCCTACACTAATTGAAGGAGTGTCCAATGCAATTCCACATCGATGGAATAAAATCTGATGGCCACGCTTTCTTATTCCCTATATCTGGAACCGTAGACATGATGCGTTCCTAATGAAAAGTTGATTGCCTTTTTGACTTGTCTTTCAGATTGACAACTGTTCTTCAGGCTCAACAAGAAAGTTCCCTCCCTCTTCCTCAATAATAGTTCTAGGCAAATGGGATAAGTAAGCATCAAAAGACCAAGTACTTCTCCGTGTTATATTTCGCTGCTGTATACAAGTTAGAGCATACATACTAGAAATGATTTTATTTTATCGGTATTGCAGCCATGATCTACTAATTAATATGAATGGCAAAAGTGGTTTTTCGACCATGATTGGTTGGGAATATTATCATACCACAACGATATAAAGTGGCTACGGATTTCTATCGACACCTGTTCATTGCCGTCTCCTAATTTAATATTTTGTCTCTTGATAGTGCTTTTATCGAGTAGTGGCTTTTGAAGCAAATTAGTGGTACAGGTGTGTGGTTTATTTCAATGCATTCCGACATCTAGAATACAGAACCAAGCCTAGTTCATCCTTAAAAAACTAGAGTGGTTGTTTAGATGATGATGAGGTGGCGTATTGACTTTATTTTTTTGTTTTCATATATTCTCTGATATGATTGTTCATTGGTCTTTCAATCGAGATCTAGTCCAGGGGACTAAATGCTCAAACAGGCATAATGTGACTAAGGCCCCGCAGTTGAGTTTGAAATGACAATTTCAGCACAGCCATTTTTCTTTTCGAAAAACCAACATAAAAGTTTGAACAGTAACTATATCTGTGCTGGACTTACAGTGTCATTGAAACTGAAATTCAAATGCATTTTTTGCTTATCTATCCAATAGGTGAACCTATAAATTCTTTTGTTTTTGGTCCTGAAAATTAGTCATTCCCTGCTCCTATAATTATATAATATTGCCATCCTTCATATCATGCTATCGTCAGCGACATTCTGTCACTTAACTAATTTTTATATACCATTAAACTGAAAGCTTCTTCGGTGACTATTGTCAGGATACAAGCTTCCTCGCCAAATTCAAAGATTCATTCAACAGACACTGATTGCGATGTATATCGCGCATGTGCTGCTAGCTAATTTTCGACGAAGTTCGTCGTACTCCGTACGTCTCGCCCAGCTTGCCTAACAGAATATGATCTCTAAGGATTGAGGGTATGATCTCAACGTAGCTTCCTATGTACACCCGCAAAGATGCATTTTCTCTTTGAGATGACCATCCAAACTGCCCTTGCAACTTTCTGAATTTGTGATCTGTGAAATACAGTGCCCTAATCTTTCTATCATAACAGGAATATGCCTGCGGAGCTGATGGACTTTAGATAAAGAGAAGGCGGAAAGCAAGAGAGATAAGGTCTACTGCATTTGTTATTGACTAGTAATAGGGGTCCACAGAATCCCATATTATTGCTGTAATCTGTGCCGTAGGCCTATGTAATCTGATAGCGTATTCCCACTTGCACTTGCAGAGCGCAGGCCTCTTGAGCTGAACTGGAGAATCCTCTGTGATTTCTCAAGTTCTCACATTAATTGATGCAGGGGTTCCAGAAATCAGAGTGAAAGCTCATCATCTTATCATACCTTTCATGTCATCTGGAGCAAATAAACACTAGTCCTGAAACTGAACTGGAGTAACGCCTGAAAGGTAATTTCGATGATGACTACTACTACTAGTACTAACTAATTTCACATTAATCGAGGCAGGAGTACTTAAGTGCTGTCTAAATGAGATATTGGCAGAGGGAAACACGCTGTAGTTTCTGCTTTGTGCAACAGAGGATTCTGTTCTTTGACTGTCCAATCGCATGCACTGCTCAGTAGGCTGTTAATTTGGCCTTTAATATAGCACCTCCATGAAGCATGTCATGGTTAAACCTCTTCGCCCACTAATTCCTGTTGGAGTGTTGGTGCCTCTACGGTCGTCTAGATACATCCATTTGAGCGACACTTAATATGGGACGGAGGGAGTATTTGATAATAAAAAGTTCACTCTTGTATGCAGGTGCTATTCTCGTCCATCAACTGGTTGGTTATGGATTACATGGATTTCTGTAGCTATCACGGCACAAGGAGCATATCTGCAAATGGAAGCCGGATCAGATCAGTACTGGATAGATGGAAGCTGGGTAACCGTTAGATATGTATGACACTTTTGAGTAAAGGGCGGAGCAGGAAAGGCAACGAGGCCAGTTACGTGGACGCACCGAACGTCAGGCTGGAGGAAGCATCCACGGACCCAACTATGGCTGGCATGATAATCTTGACCGGAGATGGAGCAGACAATGAGCCATCCGCCCACCCCCCTTCACGTGGCGCGGCATCCCATTCGACATCCGCCTGATGGGACTCACCGGAATGAAAGTCGCCGACGCCGGCCCTCCGGCCGGGATTCTGGAAATGGACTACCAAGAATCGCCGGAGAAGATGGCGTGGGAGGCCAAAGCTGCTGAAAACGGCAAAAAAGATTGTTCCTCCGCCATTGGCTGGCTGGATCAGAAAATGACACTTGTTATCGCCAAAAGTCCTTGTCGAGATTGTTCTTCTGCCATTGGCTCGTTGGATCAGAAAACGACGCTAGTTAGGAGTACTGAAGATCATTGTCTGTGCTCAGGATGCATGGAGGTTTGATGGCAAAGCAAACGTACGTACGTGGACAGCAACTGTCCTCTGGCTGAGCTGTGCGCCTACAGTGTCACCACCCAAATTCATTTTGTATATTGAAGTTAAATGCGTATTCTTCTCGAAATGGGCTTGTTAGCGTTAAAAGCAAACTAATTATATTTCACTTTTACCACTCTTAGCTTTTGACAATGTATCACAATTGTGCAATTATGATACACTGTCAAAAGGTAAGAGTGGCAAAAGTAAAATGCCAAAATCTGGAGTGGCATAAAGAAAATTTGAAAAACCTAAAGTGGCCAAATCTGGGTTGGGTGTTCTACAAGTGCGTGAATGTAAGATCTTCATCTTTTTGTGTGTTCTACAAGTATTTTTTGTTGGATTTGAGTACATGGTGTGCTTAATTTTTTCCTCTTTTGTGGTGTATTTGGTGTACATAGGGTCCTTGTGGGTTCTGGCACTAGGAGTTGGAGTACATTGTGTATCTTGTTGACAATCATTTCCTCAATGGGAATGAAGCAGTGGATGCAATTGGCGCTGCAGAGGATAGGAGGGGACAACTCATTCGAGAAAGGGGAGAAAGGGCTAGGCTTGCAGACATTGGAGCTGGAATAGATGACAGGAGGCCTTCAGGCAGTCCCATGGCCAAGCAGCAGGCAGATGCACTTTTAGGTTTAGGTTTTGAAGGCAATGATGGGATCAGTCATACTGCCGTGAGTTATGTTTGGTATCTCCCTTCTGAAGAAATGATGTCAGCTAATGCTTGGTCAGGATGTAATGCTTGTTGGTCAGGATGTAATGCTTGTTTAGGTTAAGAAGAATGTAGTTGTTATGGAGATTGCAAAACTCTTTTGGTCAGTATGTAATGCTTGGTCAGTATGTAATAGTTGGCCAGGATGTAAAACTCTCTTGGAGATGATGTAATGGCTTTGTAAGGAAGCCGGTAATGACATGTGACTTGTTAAGCTAAATGTTATTGATGGTTGTTCATATGCTAGTTAACATTTAATATCGTTGGCTAAAATTGGTGTTGCATCCAACATTGATGTTGTTGATTTCATTGGTGCTTGATGACCATGCACTGGTGACCAAGAAATATGTAAAATATTTTGATACTAGTTGATAGAAGCTCATTGCATAATGGTTCTAGTCATTCAAGGATAATTCATGATCAACAAACTCATTGCAAAATATTTTGATACTAATTGAAAGAAGCTTATTGCATAATGGTTCTAGTCATTGAAGGGTAATTCATGATCAACAATTGATCCAAACTCACATATTGACATCAGTATGGATCAATTGTTACATAACCCAACATTGCAAGTTTGACAATCTTACATGAAGATAGAACTACATCCTGAGTGAACAAAAGACATCATATCATTCTAACACAGCCCAGCATTGCTAGGTTCACCTAAATACATCAAACATAGATGTTCTCTTGGCCTTGTTAGGCAACACTTGGTCTTCCTGAACCTTTCTCTTACCAACAGCAACAATTTTCCTTCTCATCTCCTCCTTCCTTGCAGCTTCTCTTTCTGCTGCAGTAGCTAGCCTCTCAGCTTGTTTCTTTGCAGCAACAACTTGTCTATCAGCCTCTCTCTGTGCAGCAACAGCCTGCCTCTTTGCAAGTTTCTTCGCATCTGTTTCTTCTCTCTCAGCCTTCTTTTTAGCTTCCCCTTTTGCTTTGTTCTCAGCTGCTATGGCCTTCATTGTGTCTGCAATTATCTTTTTTGTCTCTTGTGTTGCCTGCTAATTTAGTTCAGCTTCTTCTCTCCTTTTCTCCCTGTTTTCAGCTGCTGCTTGCCTCTTCCTTGCTGCAACTGCTGCCTTCTTCTCAGCTTGCTCATGCCTTTTCCTGGCAATATCTTCTACCGTTCTTCTCTCCTTGCTGCAAGTAGAGCTTATTTCTTGTCCTCCGCTTCTTTGTCTCTCTACTTCTTCATAGCTAGCAACTTCTTAGCTAACCCCCTTGTTGAATGGTGGTTGTGCTAGAGCTTGGTTGTGATTGGTTCATCAAAACCTGTGCAGCTGAGATGAATGTGGACTCTGGAACA